ATTTGTCGACATTCTTTTGTCATGAGTTGCATTAAGCTTATGGCATGCTATGTCTCAGACTTCATTTTTTTAATCTAATTTGTTAGATTTGTTTGATAGGGGAGGACAAGCACCAGGTTTTCAGAATTCACTTTTTTCCTCTAATGCTAAGGACTCCCAGCTGGAACCTAATACAGTAACATGAAATTTAAATTACAGAGTTTCAAACTCACAGATTTGTTGTAACAAAACTACATTCTTTCATATGCAAATAAAATTAAAGTCACTTCAGATGTCCATCCTTTTAGTAGGCAAGGCAAAGCTGGAGATTGTTTCCAAGGGTCAGAACATTATTAGCCTGAGACATGAAGCAAGTCATTCCATGGACATGCATTTTGCAATGGGGTAGATGAAGAATGCTCAGTATTTTTGACAATTTGAAGAACATTTGCTACTTAAAATGGTCCATTCTGCTGATGATCAGGAGTGATTTGTAGTTGAAAGAGCTGATGAATCTGCATCTGTCAATAGCTTTTGCTTTCATCAGTTATAATATTTCATTGAAAGAGCTCTGTGAGGTAGAAGTTTGAGGCAGTGTTGGGCTCCACATTATGTAACTGGCCTGTTGTGTTCATATTGAAAGTCTTAAATGGTTCAGGAATCTGTACCTCAGGGAAGCTCTTTCTTTCTCTGTATATGGCTCCCTGAATATTATGATCTGCTTAATGGATTTTCTTCTTCATCTATCTACTAGGGAGCAATATTGGGTGGAGATGCAAGAGAGGACCTTTTTACTAATGGCACTGCACTAATGGAAGGTCTTCCATTTGATAACCCAGTTGACACTGGTGCTAAGTGTGTTTTGGCACCTCGATTTTGACCTTGCTGTTCTGATTCCAGGTTGAATCATTTTAAAAACAAAAATTGTTTATATAGATTGTATCCTTTTCTTAGATCCTTGGATATAAGATATGTCAGAAACAATAAAATGGAATAATGGGGACGAAGAGGTCATTCTGCCACTGTTAAACAACTGGGAGTCACAAATCCTTAGCAACTCATTGCAAATCACCCAGAAATGTAGAATTGTGTCTTCCTTCTGCTCTTTTTTTGTGTTCAAAGCAGGATGAGCAGGTGTGGTTCTGGCACAAAAGGGGGAATGAGTGATTGCTCATGGGAAATTCGAGGAGCAGCTGTTCATCATTTAAATTGGTTGCTGGGCTGCCTGTGGATTATTTCATATAAAATACATTTATTTCCAAAACCTGAAGTAGATTTTGGCCACTTCTCTTTTTCCAGTTTGGCAGTCCATGTGGCTTCCTCATTGCCCTCTAGATTTGCAGCAGTTTTCCACCTTAGTTAGAGCCATATTACTGTTTGGTGCTCTTAAACCTTAAATCAGAAGTCAATAAAACTTGCAGTTTCCAGGTTTATAATGGCTCTGTGGTCATGTTTTAACACCTGACAGATGATAATAAACCATCGCTCACACTTTTGCAGTCCCCAACATACATTTATTAAACTCCTGCATTTCAGACTCAGCTTGTTGGGCTCATGAATGATCAAATAATGAGATAGATCTTACAGTTATCTTAGCCTCCAAATAGATTGAATTATGACTTCCTCTTAACATTCATGGTCACTGTCCTCATTTATAGTCTCATTGGCACTTCTGTGTACAACTAATATAAAGGAGAATACTGGGATAAAATTGCAGTATAAAACCAGCTTTTCTATTTTACTTTTCCATAGCTTTCAAAGAGACACATGAGCAAGAAGTTCAAGGATCAAACTACAGATGCTTTACAAAAGCTGGAACAATATGGTGGGAAGGTAATATGGATTGACTGTTTTCTTCCTTCAGAAACCAGAGATGATTTTTTTGCCTACTATTCCTGTTCAATTCACACTTTATTAGGTGTATCCAATGTAGTCAAGTTGGCATATCAATATGGTCAGTATGCTTATTGTTACTAAGATATCACCAGTCAGTATTGCCTCCAGTTAGTTAGTTAGTGTGACGCATGGAGTTATTTACTTTATATACTGAAAGTTTTCTCAAAATGATGATGAATTGATGAGAGTTAATTATGCTCATATATCTTGAGATCTTTATCTTGTGAAGATGTGTATCTGTTTCCCCTTCACTTCTGATCTTTCATGCTGTTTTGTCAACACTTTGAACAGAATTGTGAGAGCCATAATATGGTTTTTAGACTAGGATCCACATTAAAGATGTAGCTGCCCTATGGTAGACAGGCTTTAACCCCCAGTTTGGACTTTGAAACCCACCTTTAAAAGCCAATCAACCATCCTGATAATGAGTGGGACACCTCAGAATAACCGGAACAGCCCATGCCTGCTAGTGAGTGAAACTGCAACAAAAGCCCCATCTATACTGTCATATAAGGCATTTTACGGTCAGTGTAGATGAGACCAAAGATTTGGAACAAATCCCTGCAGGGGTCCTTGCTTGTGCTTATCATCAGTGCCACAAAACTCCATTGAGTGGGATGGCTGACTGACATTTAAGGTATATTTCAGGAACATTTATGCTTTGGGTAATGGTACCATGATTGTAAATTTGAATAGAATGTAATTATGCTGTTGTAATTGCCTAATAAGATACTAGCCTTAGTTTATACTTTGTTTCCTGAGTACTAGGAATCTTATCTGTTTACCTTGGGATTTATTTAATGAATGGTTAATTCAGCAAAAAACAATGAGAGAAAGTGAGGAAACAGTGGCAAAAGAAATGGGCATAGGTAATGGTCTTAGCCATTGACACACACACACACACACACACACACACACACACACACACACACACACATATATATATATATATATATATATATATATATATATATATAAAAATCAAGCCAAAATATGTGATGGTCGCTTGTGGAGATTCTGTGACTTCTTTATAATGATCCTGTAACTGCACAAAGTATAGGCTGTTCCATTTCTTGTCTTGAAATTTGTTTCTCTATAGCTCATTTCTCATTGTCCCCGACCTTTACTGAGAAAAATGTTGTGGTGAATGTCAGAGCTAGAATGATAGGGTTAGAGTTGGCACTTAATTGTATTGTAGCACTTGTAGTTTACATGTGCTTTGGAATTTGAGGGAACATGGAAAGAGCTAAATGCAACTTTCTAAACCAATAGTGTTTTGAGAAGGCTGCAATTCGATGGTCTTGCACATTCTATATGTTATAGACAGCAGCTAGCATCCTGTTAGTGACTGGTCCATGTGTAAAGTATAGCTTGTATATGTATTTAAGACCCACTTGGATAGGATGCAGAAGGCTTTTCCCTTGTGCTTACACTTAACTCAGAAGCTTCCCACCACCTGTCAGTTGTCAAGCTCAGAGGGAAACCTCTGTTTACAGAGCGAGATGGAGGGTGAAGAAGATTCAGCCCTGCAGATCCAGATTCTTTGAGTTCTCAAAGGAAGAAAAAGATGCACTCAGTCATAGAACTCATCCTCATTTCTTCTCCCCTGACCAATCTGAGATCTCCTATCTAACTCCTCCATCAGTAAGCAACAATGGAAGGGGTCTCACCAAGATCTTGCTAGTTACCAGGCTGAGGAATGACACAATACTTTGCACATGTAAGATCTCAGTCAATATCTGTCAAGCTGTAACTTTCAGCCTTTCTACTTCAAGATTTAGCCTTTGCCTTTCTACCTCAAAATTTGCAAATTGTCTACTATGACTTACTTACCTATACTTCCCTATAAATCCTACCAACATGGGATGAGCATGGGAGTGGAGTGAACAATCCTTGTATATCAAATCCTGCCCTCTCCCAGTCCTCTTTTCATTTTTCATGGAACAATTTAGAGCAGGGGAGGAGGAACAAAGGAATAGCTATGTGAGATGCCAACTTGAATAATGTTGAAATTAGCCCATTGTTTTTAATCCAACTTGATGTGATAGGGGAGGAAGACAAGTGATATGTTGTTTTTTATGCTAGGAGATATATTTTTGAGAGAAATGCCAAAAAACAAAAGCTGCCATGCTGCCATTTCTCTCATTTGCTCAGTGTACTAGGAATAATTTAATTGCTTTGAGAGAGAATGGTGTTCCGAGTCTCCTTTTTTTCACAAAGGGTTTGATCCAGGTTGTAGTCTGCTTATTTTGCAATTTTATATCAAAGTTATTTCCTCATAAACCTTGCATTTACTATGTTCAATTCTAATTTTGTCAACAGGAAAGTTTGACTATTATAAAATCCAAAATTCCAACATATTGTTCAATTTCCTCCTGAAGAAAAAGACATGATGAAGAACCCTTTGGAATTGTTTGGTGTGACTTACCTTTCTATAGTATTTGTATTTCTGTATTGCTCAGGAAAAGTAGAAATTAATGTTTTACAATTAAGATGAATGTTAAGAAGTAATGTCTGAGACATTTAATTATGAGAAACATCAAATATGGCATTTTATTTGTTCTAGCACTTTTATGGAATGATAAATCAGTTTGTCTTTTCCATTAATAATACAGTTATCCATATTTTTCTAAAGGTAGCCATAAAGAAAATATGAAAGGTTATATGTCGTGTTTTACATGTAGGGTATGTTTAACAAATGTGATATTTGAAATGAAGGGCAAAGTCCTGTACCAAGGTAAGCACTATTGAATTCCCTTTCCTGGGAAAGTATTAAGTATATTCTAAAATCAAGATTTGGAAGTGCTTTACTTTGCTTGATTGTGCCATGTTTAACTTATTTTTAAATAAGAACTAATTACTTACTCAGAGGGAGATTTATTTTTATACTTTTGAGTTACAGATTTTTTTTTTTGCCCAGGATAGAAAAAAGTGTAAATGTTATTTAATTATAACTAGGATAGTTACAATGCTATGAGTACTCTTCTGTTGAAAGTGTTGAAATTTTGAGTATTTAAATGTATTTAAAATGTTCAACATCTATTGGAAGTATTAAACTTTTATAATAAATTTCTTTTGTGAAGATTGACTTAATGATTTAAGAAAAAACACAACCAGAGACAGGCTTTCTTTCTCTTTTTATTATAAAATGTGCACATTTAATTTTCACAAACGAACTACAGCAGATTTCAGGTGTACATGTATTGTACTACTCATATTCCTACACTGGTGATAGCGGAGCAGCCTTCAGCATGCTTCTCTCTTCCATCTCTACACCAGAATAGATGCCTGCTTTACTTTTGCAAAGAAGAGTTTGCAGCGTTCATTCTTTATCCGTAAGCTCTCCAGATCATTGTGCAGAAATCACAATTAAGATTGAATTAGGTCTTGTACCAGTAATGTTAGTTTTCTGGTTAGACAGCCGGTAAGTTAGTAATTGCTTGACTGTGGCAAGGAAATATGATTCTTTGTTGAGTCCAATCTGTGCTCTCCCTTATATGTAGGCCAGGGAGAAAGTGAGTAAGTATGATGCTCTATACCTCTCTCTGATTCCTCCTTTGTTATTTCAACAGAATATATATACTGCATTATGCCTCCAAGTGATGAAGTTAGCTGCATCTGCATGAACCACATGAGAATGTGCTCCCTTAATTTTAATTCATCCTTTGTTCTGTCAGTTTATATCTTTATAGTACCTCTCTGCCTTTTCTATACAATGGCAATAGTTGTAACTGTCATAACAAAATAGGTGCATTGCCTCCTCCAAAATCTACTGTTACCGTTTCTCTTAAATAGCTCTGTTAAGTAACATTTTATTCAACACTATTCTGATTTTGTAACAAAAATAATCCTTTGGCATCACTAATGGCAGGCAGTCTATGTTGGGCATGGCTGTTTTACAGCTGTATATCCTGAGCACTGAAATACTGGATACATCCTTCTACTCCCGTTCCCTCTGCCCTTGATTTTTATCTGGCCAAGGATATTCTTAGAAGTTTTTAAATTCACTCAGCCTCTTGCTTTGCTTAGATGAAGGTACCAGTCATAATGAACTAATTTCCATCCTTAATGCGGGGACATAAACATCTACGTAAATTTCTGTCTACAATTGTAACTAAACTGGTAGTTTTGAGGACAGAAAATGTTTGCCACAGGCAATTGTTAAATCATTTGAGTCATTTAAGCTTTTTACTATAAAAAGAACCTTTTCTATAAAAACAAATAGATCATGATTAAAAATAATTGTAAGCTACCACACTTCTGCCACAGAAGCACAAAAGTACAATGCAGCCCTATAGGCATATGAACACCATAGGACATAATGGGATCATGTGCCTCTCCCATGACACACACATGTGCCTCCATGAATCCATTGTCTGTGTGATAGATTGCTAGGACTTCTCCAATCCTTCTCTGCCCAACTGTCTCTTCAGTCAGGAACCAATCGCTCCAGAGGGCAACCTGGGTGGTTGCAGGCTTCCTGTTTCCATTATCCCAGGGATGTGAATGTACAGGAATGGGGCAGATGGGAAAACATTCAACTATACTTCCATGGTGATTTCAGCCATAATGGGATGATTGTACCCAACCTGTAAATACCCTTTAATTGATAACTGAATGATACAGTGTTAATACAAAAGGGAGCATGGAATTAAATCAGTTTTATACTTTAGAAATTCATTTAGTCAAAATGAGTAACACCACCTACCCATTTCCCTCTTTTCTGCACCTTTTCCATCATGGCTGGGATGGTAGTAATGCAGTTTTCATGGTGGTGTTTTCTTTGGATTATTCTCTGAATTAAATGAGATTTTAGGAACTACAAGAGCGTTATTTAACAGGACTGTTTTACCTCAACTATTGAAAAATACAATCTCAGTTTAGGAAGGCTTTAATTAAACAAAGCTAATTTGTGGTATACACGTCTCAGTGTAAAGCTGAGCAATCCTGTTTCATGGTAAACGTGGCAACAAGCTTTATGGATTTGTTGCTGCAGAATTGTTCATATTGTCCATTACTTGACGAGAGAATCGCAAGAGGTTAAATCACATTTTCAAAGAGCTGCATGGAACGCATTATGTTTTCATCCTGTGAGGGAAAAATACATCATCTCATTACCTAAAAAAGGCTTGACATCAGAAAGTGCGAAATTGTAATGAATAAGGAAATAATTAGGCCGTAAGAAAGTATGTATCTAATAGAGTCCCTTATTCAGGCTGGGAACAACAGCCACACTCAGGTGTGGGATATATGTATGTATACGTAAAGTAGTTATGATGCTACACAGTGAATTTTGGGTCAACTTCCCAAATTCTCACTTAGCAGGAAACAGCCACTGCAATTGATGGGGGCCTGTTCCCCTGTCACTTGGGAAGCAACTGACTGATATTTCTACCTTCTCCTGTGAGTGATCTCAGGTGCAGAAGAAGAGAGGTCCCTCCTACAAAGGGTGGGAATGTCAACCAGCTGCAATACCAGCACTACTAACAATCCAATTAAATACATTATTTTGTAAAACAGAGGGGTCATGTTCAGGCTGACGCTATGAAGCATTATGCTGTGTGGGGCTGCAGTGGTGCAATGGGTTAAATAAACCCTTGTGCTGCTATACTGCTGACCTGAAGGTTGGCAGTTCAAATCCATGAGATGGGGTGAGCTCCCATCTATCAGCTCTAGTACCTGCCAACCTAGCAGTTCATAAACATGCAAATGTGAGTAGCTAAATAGGTACCGCTTCAGCGGGAAAAGGCAAAGAGACACTCCAAGCAGTCTTGCCAGCCGCATGACCAGGAGGTGACAACGCAGGCTCCTCAGCTTGAAAATGGAGAAAAGTCCATCACAGAGCCAGAGATGAGCACCGCCTCAAGAAGCCGGAAATGAAAGGAGAAGCATTGCCTTTGTTTATGTTTGTGTGTCTCATGTGATTGTAAAGGCATTGGATGTTTTCCTGTGTATGCAAATGCTGTAAACCATTCTGAGTCCCCTAGGGGAGAAGGGCGGAATATAAATAAAGTATTATAATTATTATTTCCCGCATCTAGACTAAAGTTGTCTATAGTACCCTTCCACCGCTATGGCTGGAATCACCATACTGGTTTAAAAATAAGAGTAAAAAGAGTTGTACTTTCTCAGCCTCCTTCTACACTGCCATATACAATCCAAATTATCTGCTTTGAACTGGATTATATGGTAGTATAGGCTCATACAATCCAGTTCAAAGCAGATAATGTGGATTATCTGCCTTGATAATCTGGATTATATGGCAGTGTGAAAGGGGCCTCAGGTCTTCATTCCACAGAGACACAATGTATTGCGCTCTCACTTTTGCCTTGGGATAAGCTAAGCCACAAAGCCTTGGTCAAACTATAGGATCTGGCCATATTAGGCTGGACCCTAATTTATATTTTCTGAAGTACAAGGGAGACTAGGACCTATTTACTAGTTTAGTATCAATACCAGTTACTTACTTTTTGGCAGCTTTCAATGAATTCATCTATGGTAACTACTCCATCCTTATTCTTGTCCATTTTCTGCCAAATAAACAATATTTGCTTCAGTGATGTTTACATTTTTTGATACCATTTTTCCATTACAGTTGAGAACAAGTATTTTGTAGAAAAGGTAACTTAATGTCAATTATAGAACTTGTAGACTACCTTTTATATTAACTCAGTTCTAATCTTGGTGCATCTTAATATTTCCATTGGCAAACCAGAGACTTCTAGATCAAATCTCTGCATTCGAACTGTAACCATAACGTTTTGTAACAATCGCAATGCAAAAACATCAAAGTAATATTTGTAAGGACGCCATTTCCCACACCCATTTGCTAACCAAGTCTACCTGGAAAAATGTTTCCACGTGTTGTCTTGGGGCATCTTCTTTAACAATGGGATATGTACATTTCCCCATCATATCATATATAGCTTTCATTATATCCAACATTTCCTATTGGGAGAAAAGGATGTTAAAATCAGCAGAAAAATCGGCAGAAAGCATGTACGTGTTGAAAGATTTACTTTAGCAGATGTTCTACCAGCTTAGAGCTGAAAACCTTTCAGAATACTGTATATGGTGGAATGTTCTACCCAGCAAAACCCAATGAGAGTTACAGTGCAACATCTGGGATACCATACATTTCTCATCACTGATTTATAGGTTTTAGTTAACTGCTGAGGTTTGATTGAGTCAGGGATGAGCAATTTGTGTCGCTCCAAATGTTGGTGTGCATCTCCCAGTAACTCTTCAAATTGCTTGTTCTACCAAGGGCTAATGTGAGGTAGTCCAAAGGCACCCAAAAGATCTAAAGTTGCCTATCTCTGGATTAGCTACCAATCAACATTCAGTGTGCTTTTGTAACCTGCTTCTCTTGCCTTGGCTTTTTTTTTTTTAAACTTGAACCAATGTTCATGCAAACAGATTGCTCCTAGATGAGAAAAATATTTACAAATCTACAAAAGTATATCTGTCCTGTTAGGAACCTTTCTGAGTGAACCAGATGTATGTTTCAAAATGACCAAGAAATGACAATTGGGGACTTGCTTCCATTACCTGGGGGCTCAATAGGTTATGTTTAAAGTGAGGAATACTATATTTTATCTACTACTGCTGAAGTCAATTGTACCAAAGAAATAAGAGTGATTAACATTTAATTTGGACAAATGAAGCTTGCTGCCATGCTTCTTCCTCTAATCATTTTATATGTTTTCCTTCCTCCCCTTTCTTGACCCCATAGCCACTCAGAAGAGATTTTCCATAGCATTTTAAAAAAAGTTTTACTTATGGATTGGAAGGAAAGAGGCGGATACAGTAGAGTCTTGCTTATCCAACCTTCGCTTATCCGACACTCCTATTATTCTTCGTGTCGTCCGTGAAATGCGCACCTATGGGTTCTCCCTTGCGCATGCGCAGAAACTCGGAACATTCTAAGTTAAAATGAATTAAAAATGATTATTTTGAGCCCCATAGGCTCCGCCCATCTCCCCGCCCCCCGGATATATGCGCCGAGCGGCGCCGCCATTATTTAGTTCCCTTTTCCGCGCTAAACTAGCAGCATCTCGGAACAACTCTCCTCGATTTCCTGACTAACTGGACTGACTTGGACTGATTTCTGGACTTTGGCTGCCTCTTTTCTCCAACCCCCGATTCGGACCGGCTGACAACTCTCTTTCTTCACCCTCAGGCTAAGATGTCTTCCCTTTATTTCAAAAATTGCTCAGCTTGCGGGGCCACCCTCCCCGAAGCTGATAGACACTCAAAATGCCTCCTTTGTTTGGGAGAATCCCATAATCTCCAATCTTGTGAGATTTGTTTAAGCTTTACTACAAGGGCTCGTAAAGGAAGGGATGCCCATTTAAAAGCTCTGTTGTATGAGCGCGCTCTGGCTCCACAATCCCTCCCTACTCCCTCCCTTTCTTCCCCATTGATAGAGCCCACTCAGCCTCCCTCCCCACGCATTGGGGAAAGGCATGAGTTGGATCAGGCAACTGTTTCCCCTGTGGAACCGCCTGCAAAGAAACAAAAGCTCCCCAAACAGGCCACGAGGCTGGGGAAAACAAAAGAGAAAGCAAATAAACAGAAAAAGGGACGGCAACTCACTGACACACAGTCCTTGAGTCCTCCCAGACTGGAACCGATGCCCCATTCCTCCGGTTCTGTGCTGCACCTCCAGGAGCCACTCCCCACCATGCTCCAACTGGATGACCCCTCCCACCTCCCTCCGCCACTCGAACTCCTGGCTCCTCAGTTGGAGGCTCAGCCCTCCGCAGGCCGATCGGCTTCTCCCCCGCCGCTTCCCCTCTCCCAAGCCTACCCCTTCCCATCTCCTAATCTTCCACAAACCCCGGTCCCGGGAGAAACTCTTTCCCCCTTCCGGCTGCGCTGATTGCGCAATCTTCCCGCCGCCGCCGCCAATCCCCTTCTCCTGAGGCGGAACCGACAGCGCCCTCCTCTCCTCCTCCCAAAAGGCCCCGTCCTCGCTCCTCTGAGCACTTTCAACCATATGGGTACCCAGAGTACCCTTACCACCTCTATCCCCCTCCTCCTCCCTTCCCTCCATACCCTTTCTATTATCCTCCCCACCCTGATCACTATAGGGGCTTTGATGCCTCCCACCTGGAGGACCCTAGATACCCTCAGCCCCCCCCGTGCGCCTCCCACGGCCACACTCTCTCGCCCTCAGGAAGACCAAACTGAGGCCCAAACTCACCCACCCGAGCAGGATCCCAACAATCCACCCCTGCCAGACTCAGAAACCATCGACCTTGAATCCAATGATGATACACCTGCCATCCTGGATACCCAACCTGACGCTGACCCCTCCCCTAAAAATGTGGAGGAATTCAAAAAATTCTCAGCTCTTTTAATAAGACTGACTAGAGCCTTAAACTTAGCCACTCCGGAACCTACCAATACGGTAGCTGACCCGTGTTTTACTTCCACTGAACAACAACAACCATCATCCACTGTGTTGCCCACTCTACCTTACTTATTAAAGATTCTCAAAAATAATGGAGTTGCCCCGGCTTCGGTTCCGGCAACTCCTAAGAGGCCTGAAAACTTGTACCGTATTGATCTTTCCTCAGCTTCATGGCTGGCTAAAATGCCTAAAGCAAATTCTGTCGTGACTGATGCTCAACCTAAACCAACTCAAATTAACCAAACCTCTCCCTCTGATAAAGAAGGAAGGAAATTGGATGCTATGGCCAAAAAATTCTACTCCTCAGCATGCCTCTTTGCACGCATGGCTCACTATGGAGTATACATGAGCGTATACCAGACTGCCTTGTGGAACAAAATAGCTCCCTATTTAGACCTATTACCTCCAACCGAACAACCTCTGGCCACAGCTTTTAAACAAGAAGCTCTCCTTTTGGCCTCCCTACAAAAAGACCTCTCCAAAAATATTGCTGACACCGCAGGCAAACTCATTGCAGGATCAGTGGCCCTTCGCCGCCACGCCTGGCTGAGAGCAGCTATCCTTTCTCAATCACAACGCACCCTGATTGAGAATCTCCCCATGGATGAAGCAGGCCTTTTCAATCCTGAAACAGATTCTCAATTGAAATACTCCCATGAAATGAAACAAACAGTATACAAGTATGACCAACAACCATACTCTTACCAGCGCCAGCGATGGGGATCCTACTACTACCGCCCTCAATATTACAATAGGCCCTACAACACCTCATTCTACAGGGGACGACAGAGGCCTTACAACCCCTCCACATCGTCAAGATGACCGCCCTTGCCATCCAGAGGTCAGTACCGCGGTGCCAGGCCCCCCAATACCAACAAACGTCGTTTTTAACACACCTACACCTACTGCCATTCTCCTACCCCACATCCAACCACTTACATACCTGGACAGATTACTTACCTTTCTCCCGACATGACAGTCCATAACCACAGACACCTGGGTCTTGGACATCGTTGAAAGGGGCTACGCCATAGAATTTGACAACTACCCTCCAGTGGGCAATATACTACTAACCCCACCTTCCCAAACCATTTGGGAAGAGATTCACTCTCTCCTTCAAAAAGGCGCCATCTCGCCTACTTCTTCACAAGATGCAGACACCTGCTTTTTCTCCCGTTACTTCCTGGTAGATAAGAAAGATGGTGGTCTACGCCCCATCCTTGATCTACGTAAACTCAACACTTTCATTACACCACGTAAATTTCGCATGGTAACACTTCCCAAAATTCTCCCCTTCATACCCAAAGACTCCTGGTTAGCCACGGTTGACCTCCGGGACGCCTACTTCCATATTTCAATTAGACACTCCCACCGCAGGTTCCTTACCTTCGCGGTCCAAAACAGATTCTTCTCCTTCAATTCTCTCCCATTCGGACTGTCCACAGCACCAAGAGTATTTACCAAGTGCATGTCTGTTGTAGCCGCACACCTCCGCCAACAAGGCGCCACAGTTTTTCCTTACCTGGATGACTGGATGTTCTGCTCGTCCTCTCGACCACAATTGTGTAAAGATATTGATTATACTTTATCTCTTTTGCAGGATCTGGGTCTGGTCGTGAATCACGAAAAATCTCACCTGACCCCAACACAACGCATCCAATTCATAGGAGCCGTAATAGACTCCACACTTCAGAAGGCCTTCCTCCCAGAAGATCGCTTCCTAAATTTGTGCCAATCTATCCTGACCCTACAACAATCCCGCCAAACATCAGCTTGGGCTATCCAGTCTATCCTTGGCCATATGGCTTCTACCACAAACGTAACACCCTTTGCTCGCCTGAGAATGAGACCCCTTCAAAGTTGGTTTCTCAGGGCGTTCGACCCCCTTCACGAACCCCAGTCACGGGTCCTAAAACCGCCCCTCTCTGTCCTCCAGTCACTCTCATGGTGGACAAAGCAATACAATGTTCAATCGGGGATGCCATTCAACCATCCCCGCCCCTCCATGTCCCTCACAACCGATGCCTCCAATCTAGGTTGGGGAGCACATCTCAAGGGATTTCAGGTCAGTGGCCACTGGTCCCCACAAGACCAGAAGTTCCACATCAATGCTCTAGAAATGATGGCAGTGGAGAAGGCTCTTCGGGCCTTCGCACGCATTGTATCCAACCACGTAATACAAGTAGTAACAGACAACACCTCTGTCAAATACTACATCAACAAACAGGGAGGAACACGCTCACGCACACTCCTCTACATCTCACAACGCATTTGGGAATGGTGCATTCAGAGGAATGTCCTTCTCTCAGCCATCCACTTGCCAGGCCAGGACAACACCCTGGCAGATTCTCTAAGCAGATCATTGAAAAACAACCACGAGTGGCATCTACATCCCAGACAGTTCAAAGCCCTCACACGCAAGTGGGGCGAACCCAGAATAGACCTCTTTGCATCTCCAATGAACAACCACTGTCCCCTCTATTGCGCACGGCTCCACCCTCGCGCATCCCAAGGCTGTCTCGGAGACGCC